ACGAAACGACTTCTCTGTGCGTTGACACTGCGCTGGGTCTCGCGATTTCTGGACAGCTTAATCGCATCCGTGTGCGCTTTTTAGCCATTACGGTGTCCCCAAAAGTGCGTGACCAGAAGTTTGCCGATTGGTGGCACAGTTCTTTTCCTTAGGGCTTAGTGCCAGGTTTTCTTTGACATGGCTCCATGCCAAATCTCACTTGGTGCTTCGTGGGAGTGGTGCATACGGTGCATTGTTCCTTCGAGCCGCTTTTTTTCCGCAACCAACTATTTCATCATCTCTGTAGGGGGTCTAAGTAGCGTTTGTACTCGGATCACTACAATCATCAGGTCGAAATCCCCTGGTTGAAGGTAAAAGGCAAGGATCACCAGAAGGAGCGATTCATTGTGTACAGAACTCCATATTGATGTCTCAGGTGGCAGCGGCCACTGGCGATGCCAGGGCTAGTGCTGACTGCGTCCAACCAGGCCTGAGAGAGTCGACTGTATGTTGTGTGGGGTGATGATAATTGCTTAAGCAAGATGGTGAAGCAAGTTCAAGTGTTATGTTATTGGTGTGTAACAATTGCCCCAGTGGATTTCGTCTGTAGAGATCTTTGTTGCATCGGCCGAGGGGTGGTGTATGCAAGTGGCACTTAGGCAGGCGTGATTATTTGGACACACTTGTGCATGGACTGAGTAAGCTGAGGTCAACTGTCGGGTCCGCCGGCACGCCGAAGAACAGGGGGCGTTGACGCAGCTGTTATCGGTTAGCCAGAAGCAGCTGCAAGGTCAAGCCTCGGGGGACGGGGACGCCAGTAAAGGAAAGCATTGGAACAGTTGTTTGTGATGACACGACTTTGGGGCAGCGAGCCTTGGACAACGAAGGGAGAATAGGCATTGTGGCTGTCCGCCACATCTCGAACAGGTAAAAAGATCCCCCATAGCCATACTTAGGCATTTGTCTTATGCATCATCCGGGGTAAAACCCTAGGTACGTTCTATTGAGGCTTTCGACGCCCGCCACTTGGAGCATGCTCACACGTCCAATCCTGTATAGCCTCTTGCAGATACGGGCAAAACTTCATATTGAACCAATTATGCACACCGTTCTGCTGTCCTATGTCTTGTCATTTTGTGCACTCTTTTCCAGGTTGTCTTTTTTTATAAGTGTTGATTTGAGGTAGTTTGTTTTTTGCAGATGCAACGTCATCGCCAGCCTGCGCCCTACCAGTCCAACGTAAACTCCAATGCCTCCTCCCCGGGCTCCTTTACGGTTGTCTATCCAGACTCTTCGCCCGCTAAGTCAGAGGCTTCCCCGACCCCTGGCTCCCTCCATGCCACTTCCAAGCTCTACTCCAGTCTCCTCCAGCGCCCTCCATCATCCCAGTCCTCCGCATCCTCCACGCCAAACTTCCAGCAGTCTGACCACTTTTCGGGCGCTGGCCATTCATTTGTAATCACTCCCAGTGGCGTAAGTTGTGTTATCGCCCACCGTCAGTATTGCAGTACCATCAGGCTTAGATCGAGCTGGCTAGTATAATAACAGTCGAAGAGTTGTCCACCCGAGCGTGCACATCTTGCATGTGCGAGAACTGTGCTACTTGATTTCTGACCAACTGGCTTGTTATGGACAGGGAATTTGCCGCCACGTCGGCCACTCGCCTCTGACAGTCCCTGGTTTTAGAGGGAAGGCAAAAGGCCTGCGGCCGATACTAGGGAATCCATACCGTTGCATAGCAACGTGTACCTCGCCACCATCTCACGAAATATTAACCGGAATTCTGAAATGTGTTTTCGATTCGAAAATGTTTTAGTAGGGTTCTAATATTGATGAGTATGCAGCATCGGACAAGCCATTTCACTCACCTCGGGATTTCAGCTTTTGGACGAGCTTCTTTCTGACCACTTGCAAAATTATTTATCTGTAAAAAAATAGCCACTTTAGTAATATATGTTAGTGTGGACCACGCCAACTACGGTGCTTGCACGAAGTTCATTTGTGCACACAATGCCGGCTTCAGAAACCTGATAATGGTCGCTTCTGCTGTTGCTAGCTGACCCAGGGACTTTGGGTAGTTTGGCAGGACCTTATAAATTACCTTACTAGGTTCTTTGGGGTTCAGATGATGTCCGAAGTCAACCATGTGGGCAAGGATGACGCTGTTGATGCTTCTGACTTCACCTTTGCTCAGCCATGCCGGAAGGTGCTCCCGTATTCTTTTGGATAAGCGCTGACTCGTGCGACCGATATAACCTGCTCCACAGGAGCAAATGAATGAGTGGATGCACATAGAAGGGGTCTGAGCTGGCAGCCTATCCTTACTTTCGCCGTGCAGGACTAGGTTGATTAAAAATACCACCCGAACTTTCGCTGCTGGGAAGGTTCGTGATACGGTTTGGTTGAGGCGTGTGCTTGGGAGTTCGCTTGCCGCATCCCCTTGAAAGGGGACTTTGAGGAATAAGGTCTTCTTTTCCACGGTGGGTGTGGTGGGTTTCGTTTCTCTCTCTCTCTTTCCATCACGATTCGGTGCTTATGCAAAAGAATATGGGAGCACCTTCCGGCACGGCTAAGCAAAGGTGAAGTCAGAAGCATCAACAGCACAATCCTTGTTCACATAGTATATGTTAGTTTAATTGCTTTTTCTTTCATAGAAAACCTGAAAACAAATATTATTTTTGTACTGTTTTCGTAGAAATGTATGCCTTCTTAAGGTCGTTTACCTGAAAAGTGAATATTTCGGTGTTTAACGGTATTAGTTAATTAATTCAACTAGAAGTTTTTAAGACAGAATAATGCTATTTCTTTAAGTATAAAATTTAGCGAACACGTAATTTTCTACCAACCTCGTAGAAGAGGTACTATTTTGTACTTGCTCCCTATAAAATATATTGTAATTTCTAGGTTCATCTAAAATCAAGTATACCACTACTGCTTCAGCAGCTATTTCTTGCAAAGTATTCATTTTGTAGGCCGCCAGAAAGAAGCTCGTCCAAAAAATCGACATCTCTACTTGATTGGCACGTCTAGAAATTCGTCTGTAAGGTAATACTACAACCCCAGTAAAGGAATC